TTTTTTGGGCAACCAGAAGAGAATGAAGGAGTGGACCAAGGCAGTCATACATTCAATCCAGAATACCTAAGAGAAAACAAACCAAGAAGTGAAGGGGGTACAATAATACCTTGACTTTGGGCTAAATCTGAAAGTATATGACACACTTGTGTCTGGATACCAGCTCTCCACTGCCCGGTGCACAGGGGGCTGGCAGCGGGCCCAATCAAAGCATATCAGCAGTACTCGTGTCCAAAGAAAAACAACCAGAAAAAGAAAACCTCAACATGGCAAATATCCACCAGAAACATGAAGAATTGGGGCAGGCCCCAGTGCAGAACGGACAGGAAGCTCAGCCTTTGGGAAGGGGCAAAGGCCAGCAGCCTGTGGCAAATAACCATCGAACACAGGCTCGCTGACTTGCCCCTAATTTTTGATGGGCCATAGAAGGGAGAGCTGGTGGCATAGTGCCTAAGGCACTTGACTGCTAACCAGAAGGCTGGCAGTTCAAACCCACCATCTACTCCTCGGAAGCAAGACTGGGCAATCTCCTTCCACAGAGATACCACCTCGGAAACCCAAGGAGAGGTCACTATGAGTCCAACTGATTCGACGGCAGTGATTTTGGCTTTTTATACTCAATTGGCAGGTTGCTGACAGGATGGGTGGAGATGGAGATGATATGAAAATGATCGTGAGGGAGATGAGAGCAATCAGGAGAAAATCAGGGAGCTGCAGTTGAGGAATTGTCTATGTATCCTAATGGGGGAGCTCTCTAATCACCATGACCATTGTGATGAATTCGGCCTTATGTGTTGACTCCTATCATATTCTATGAAATGAATACTGTGATTTTTTTTTCCCTTGTTTGCATTTTCCTAATATACCTTTGCTGATCCATTTGCTGTAAACTTTATATTATTTCTATGTGTTGAACCAAAACCAAAACCAAAACCACCCCACTGCAGTGAAGGCAATTCCAATTTATATGGAGCCTACAGGATAGAGTAGAACTGGCCTATAGGGTTTCCAAGGCTGTCAATCTTTATAGAAGCAAAGCCCAAACCAAACCCACTACTGTCTAGTTGATTCCAACTCCCAGCGCCCCTAGAGGACCGACAGAGGAGAACTGCCCCACAGGGTTTCCAAGGCTGTCAATCTTTACAGAAGCGAACTGCCCCATCTTTCTCCCGCAAAGCAGCTGGTAGTCATGCAAGTTTGACCTTTTGGGTTAGCAGCCAAGTGCATTAACCACCGTGTCACCAGGGTTCCTTTCTACGTGTTAGATAGGTCTTATGTTGTTACCAGCTTCTAAATGAAGATTGCTTTTGCACCCAGTATACATTTCTGTCAGCAGTCAAGTTTCACCCATTTGCATGGAAAGGTGTAAAGTTAATAAAGCAATTAAAAAGCAAATAAATAAATAAAAGTATATGACACTATAAAATATACTTACTTTATGCAATATAGTTACAAAGCTAAAATGTTATTCATGAAGATTGAAAAATTCAATTTCTTCTTGAACTTTGAAAAGAAATGACTGAGAAATTATAGGATAACATTTCAGAAACAAATTTATTAAATATGTTATTGATTCTGGGTGTTGCTGAGTCAATTCTGACTCCCAGGAACCCTAGGACAGAGCAGAACTGCCCCACTGGGTTTCCAAGGCCTAATCTTTATGGAAACAGATGACTGCATCTTTCTCCCATGGAGCAGCTAATGGATTCAAACCACCAACCTTTCGGTTAGCCGCTGAGTGCTTAACCACTGTTCCACCAGGGTTATATTAAATATAAAAGTATAAAATTCAAATGTAATATATTTGTTATAAAATTATGAAGGCTCAAATTATACAGTAAAATAGAACTAGAAATAATTTTTTAAAGACACTATAAATTATTTAAATTATACTCCTTTAAATATCATTTCATACTATACTTTATATGATACTCTCTGGGCCTTTACCTCCACAATTAGACCTGGTCAAAATAATGCATAAAAAAATTTTATGCTTTTTATGAATAGACCATCCAGAATTTTCTCAAGGAAAATCTAAATAATATAAAAATCGCTGGCATCAATCAAACAAAGCCACATATAGGGCAGGAAATGACAGAACAACAATACAAAAAAATTCTTTGTTCTTTCAATTCTAAATATACAAGCTATTTTTATGCTTGTCAGGAAGGCTTACAGATAAAGGACTATAGAAGAAAAGGATGTGAGAAAACCATACCTGGCCTGTGACCCAGTGTTATCCTGGAGTAAGGCAGTTCTTAGGAAAAAATATAACAAACTGATTGAAAAACAAAGCTAATGGCAGATTGGAAAATATCAAGATTCATGGGACATTGGATAGTTGTTTGGTGCCGTTGAGTCGTCTCTGACTCAGTGACCCTGCGTACAGTACAACAGAACAAAGCACTGCCCGGTCCTGTGCCAGCCTCACAATCCCTGCTGTACCTGAGCCCATCACTGCAGCCACTGTGTCAGTCCATCTCATTGAGGGCCTTCCCCTTTTTCATTGACCCTCTACTTCACCAAGCATGATATCCTTCTCCAGGGAATGGCCCCTTCTGTGAGACGAAGTCTGGCCATTCTCGCTTCCAAGGAGCATTCTGGCTGCACTTCTTCCAGGATAGATTTGTTAGTTCTTTCAACAGTCCATGGTATTTTCAGCATTCTTTGCCAACACCACAACTCAAATGCATCAATACTTCTTCAGTCTTCCTTATTCATTGTCCAGCTCTCACATGCATACGAGGCAACTGAAAATACGATGGCTTGGGTTAGGTGCATCTTAGTCTTCAAGGAGATATCTTTGTTTTTCAGTACTTGAAAGAGGCCTTTTTTTTTTTTTTTAAATTGTGATTTCAGTGAAAATTTACAGAGCGAATTCACTTTCCATACAGCAGTTCACATACACTTTGCTCATGACATTGACCACAATTTACCACAATGCAACAGCTCCCTTTCCATTTCCTCCCGATAGCTACCTCTTCCCTGTGTCCATCCCTCCAGGCACTCCTGCCCTCTGAGCTGTCTCCCTGTGCATAAGCAGCCCTTCTTTCTCCCATGATTGTTCTCTCCAAGGAGTGTATCCACCTTAGGTAAATGTTCAACTCATATGCCTGTCTTTTGTTTGGCTGGAAGCCACAGGTGTGGGTTCAGTTCCAGACCTGAAGGGCAGCTAGGGACCATAGTCTCAGTGATTCCATCAGGCTCTATCAGACCAGCAAACTTGGTCCCAACCATCCTTTTTTTTTTTTTTTTTTGCCTCCAAATGATTTTCAGTTTTGTTCCACATTGTTCTCCCTCTCTATCCAGGATCTCCTATATAGATCACCCTCTGAGTGGCTAACAGTGGTAGCTGGGCAACCATCTAGTTCTTCTGTTCTCATAGGCGTATAGGCTGCGGATCAGATGGTGTACCAGTCGCTAGGACTAATTGTTTCCATGAATCTTTGGTTTTCTTCATTCTTCTTTGCTCTGGAAGAGGAGAGACCCAACGTTGTATCTAGATGGCTGCTTGCAAGCTTTTAAGATCCCAGTCGCTACTCGCCAAAGTAGGAGGTGGAACAATGTTTTGTGCAGTATGTTATGACAACTGAGCTTCACTTCCCCTCTGATTATGGTCCTGAGCCAGCAGGTTCAACTAGTCGGTCCTGAAAGAGGTCTTTTGCAACAGATTTGCCCAATGTAATATGTCAGCTGACGTCTTGACTGCTGCTTCCATTGGTGTTGATTGTAGAACCAAGTAAAATGAAATCTTTGGCAACTTCTATCTTTTCTCCATTTATCATAATTCTGCTTACTGGTCCAGTTGTGAGGATTTTCGTTTTCTTTATGTTGAGGTGTAATCCATACTTCAGACTGCTGCAGTCTTTAATCTTTATCAGTAAGTGCTTCAAGTCATCTTCACTTTCAGCAAGCAAAGTTGTATCATCAGTGTATCTCAGGTTGTTAATGATTCTTCCTCCAATCCTGATGCCACATTTTTCT